GATTATTCTTACTATATTAAGAAAGGAAAATATTATGTTTAATGCCTATGTTTTTGTTGTTGTTGTTGTTGTTGTTGTTGTTGTTGTTGTTGTTGTTGTTGTTGTTGTTATTGTCGTTGTTGTTGAATGTTTATATTGTTGTTGTTGTTAAGGAATAAACTAATGAATATAGACTTAGATAAGAAAATGGTGTATAAGACACATTTGTATTCATGGTTATATGTTGTTGTTATTGTTGTTAAGGTACAAACCAATGAACATAGACTTATTTGTTGTTAGTGGTGGACATAGCCCATTTTATCTTATAGGTTTATTTGTTATTCTTGGTTAGAATGTTTATTTATGTTGTTGCTTGAATATTTGAGGATAATATATGTTGTTCTATGTTGTTGTTAAGATTGGTTTAATGTTATGATATTGTTTTTCTTTTGTTATTGTTTTGAACATATATGAACTATTCATCTAGCAACGAAACTCATACAAATGAATCTAAAACTGTAGAGGGGAAAAAATAAAAAAAAACAAAGATAGGTTCTATAATGATGACTAAATTAATAAAAGTTTGTAACTCGGATAATAGATTGTCGATTGAGTTTAATGTCGTAACTTGAATATGTTATAGTCTGAATTATTTGCTTTTTAGGAGTTATGTTGCGTTTCTAGAAAGTAGAAAAATGAATATTTTGATAGATGATTGGACCCAAGTATAAAAAAATGTGAAAGAAAGCATATGGATAAACTTTAAGGTATTAATTTTAGTTTACACAATTCAATGGTATATTTTTATAATTACAAATACATACGTATTGATGTAACTGTAGTCGGCTTATTAGTTTACTTATGTTGGTGAGCATTGGAAGGCCTTTAAGTCATAGCTCACGTGTGACTATATTACGAAACCTAAGTTTGATATTGAGCATTTAATTGTGAAATATAATTATATTGACAAGATGGTTTGAGAAAATTTTGTCAAGTTTCATAGTTCTGCTGATTTTTTAGTTAGTAGTATTTTTTTATAATAATTTTATGCTTATGATTTATAGATACAAACTATACAAATTAATATTTTCACTATGTTTATAATATGTTAAAAGTGAATCAAGAAAGCTAAATAAGGAAAAAAAAAACAAATATCCCCATTGATTATCTCGTGGGGGTTACAAGAAACTTAAGGAAATGTTGATTAATTAAAAAAATAACAAATGGGAGACAAGGACTCCATGAGTTATGATCGCAATCTATCTCCACCATTACGACATGAGAAGTGAAAGAAGGACCAACAAAGACCAAGTGGATAGTTCACTTCAGATGCCTCACGAGCAGTCACTAAAAAAGCTATAAGTAGTTTTTTTTTCCTATTAGAATATTAAATGTAGGATTTGTTATGTGCAATTTAAATCGCTTTGGTGACAATATCATATTTGTGTTGTGTAGAATTCGTTGATTGATATGGCCACTCATGGTTCCTTTGCTCCACAACCACGACATGGTTTATATTTATGAGATGAGACGTCTTCTTACTACGTAAGTTTATATTTATGAGACTTTTAATTAGTAATATTTGCTTTAACTTTGTAATTAGATTAGCCTGTAATATGTTTAAACCTTTTTCAATATACAAAGTTGTGGAGCGACACCATATATTGAATGAAGTTAGAAATAAAAGACTCGCATTTTGTATGCCTTTGATAAGTGGATTACTTGTAACAATCATTTATCTATAATTACGTGTGTGGTTATATATTCATGTAATCTTTAAATTTATAGACGAGAAAACGCAAAGGAGGATACATGTGAGATTTTTTTTTTAATGAAACACATGTTAAACATTTTCTCTGTCATCATTGTTGATTTTTGAGATCAGGTATATTCATTTAAAATAACATATTAATGTTTAAATTTTTTATTATTTCAACTCATGTGATCTTCAATTTTTTATATGGATGTTTCACGCACTACACCATTCTCATTAGAAGACTTTAAAGATGTTCATACATGTTTGCCATCTTGCGTCAGTGCGCTTTATAAGCTAGAGGGATCACATTGAGCTTGTAACATATGTTTGCAATATTTTGTGTTTGATCTAAATAATATTTAGGTTTGTTTGGTATTATATTGAAGTTATTTTTTGGTTATAAAAATATGTGTGTTTGTTGGTTCATATTCTGTTGTGGTAAAGAAATATCGTATAAAATACAGGTAATAAAAATTTGGGCATATATGAAATAATAAAAAATATTTTAAAAAAATAGAGTATTTCACCATGGTTGAAACATTAATCGTGGTGAAAACGGTGCGCCAATTATTATATACCATGGTATGGCTGAGCATCAAACCTATGACCTTTAAATATTTTACCAGAGTTGATTACGATGATGTGGTGATATATAGTGCGCTACTTATTTTATCATTATGGTCACACGTCCGTGGTGGAAAGCAACATACTTACTTCCACCACTACATTACTACGGTTGACCAACCAAGATGGTATCCCTTTTTCAGCCGCGGTGAAAGTGCTTTTTCGTAACAATGCTCCTAACTAATAGCAAGTTAGTTATTTCTTCTCTATTATACATAGAGAAGACGTCAATTCAAGTAATAAATTTCAAATTTAATTTTAATTGATTATTTTCCCTCACATGTTGACTTGAACATTAAAATTTTAACCTTATAGATCAACTCCCTCTCCACTGCATCAAAATCCGTCATTATTCTCAATCTTTACTTCATATTTTATTCCATAACGGAATAATTACTAAAATTATTGTTTGCAAAATAGTTATACTGAAACTAAAAATTGAAGAAATTTGTTAAATAAACTAAAAACAAAATGTAAATTTTTATTAAGACTGAAAACATATTTAACTTTATCTATATAATTTTAGTATCTGAATGAAAAATGTATATTTATAATCATAGATTTTATTAAAAAAAGTATATAATATTTTTTAATTACATTTTGATCCCCTTATTTAATTGACTCAACGTTGCTAGTCCTCTTTTAAAATTCTTTAGTTATGGACATTTAATTATATTTTTGAATTTAAAATGTAGGCTTAATTCATCTTTTAGTCCCTGAATTTAATTTATGATTTCACTTAGGTTTTTTATCTAATAAACGTTACATTTTAATTCATCAAAAACTATTCCGTTAACCAATTTAGTCTACTCTGTTAACTTTTAACTTTAAATATCTTACGTAAGACACTATTGTTGAGTGTCTACTATAGACTTCATTATTTTTTTAATTTTAACCATTTGATTTTTTTTGAAGAATTGTACGCGGTTGGATCTTGAAAGTCTATTTATTATTCTAGTACATCATCAACGCCTGATATTTTTTACTTATCTTCATCTTCTTCCCCTTTCTTCATCTTCATCTTCATCACCATCTTCATTAATCTTTATCAAATTTTTAGAAAAATTAAAATTTTGAAATACTTCTCTAAATTTTTTTTCACATCATGAAACTCAATTTATGTTACAATTACTTAATATCCATTTATAAACTTCAATTTTGTTATCATGTTAATCATTATCACACTTCAAATTTTCTAACAAAGGGGTTGTTGCTTATGACATTAAAGATCTTTTTTTTTATCTTCTTATTATTCATCTTCTTTGTGTAATGGTGTTAGAAATAAAAACAAAATTTATTTTGGGTTTGATTTGGCTTTAACTTAGGATTCTTTAAATGAGTTTGTGGAGAAAATTTGTAAAAAAGATGTAATTGGTTTCAAAGAAGGTTAAGTAAATAATTTGTGTTCTTCATATGATTTGCATTCAAATGGGTTTGCATTCACACATAATAGGAAATAGAGAGAGTAATAATCATGCTTACCAAACTTAATATAGATGATTGGCCAAAGAATGTGAAACACTAGAAATTATTTTTTAATTGTTAATCTTAATTTTACTTTTTTTGATTTAATGGGTAAGTTTAGTTTCACTTTTTTTGATTTAATGGGTAAGTTTAGTTTCACTTTTGTTTATTGGGTTATCTTGAATTTTATGGAGTTTTGTTTAATTTTATTTTTTGTGATTTTAATTTTGTAGAAAATAGGTGTACAATTTATTGGTTATTAACATATTATCAAGATTTGATATGAAAAATTCTGGAAATTTATGAAATTTTAATAAATATGGTGATGAAGAAGATTAAGAAGAAGGAGAAAGAAGGTGAAGATACCTAAAGAATTAGTTGTTGATGATGCACTATAAATATTAATAAACTCTCAAGATTCAAAGTTGTAAAATTCATCAAAAAGATTAAATAATTAAAATTAAAAAAATAATAAAGTCTATGGTGGACACTCAACAATAGTGTCTCACCTAAAATATTTAAAGTTAAAAATTAACAGGAATGACTAAAATGACTAACGGAAAAGATTTTAAAAGACTAAAATATAATGTTTATTAAATAAAAAATTAAAGTGAAAATTTAAATTAAGTTAGGGGACTCCAAGACCAATTAAATCTAAAATATATATATTTTAAATGATCACATGAAATACAGTATAATAATGTAGAATGATCTAAGTATAAATTTTAAAATATAAAAAACAATTCTTTAGGTGAATGCAAATAGAAAATCAAAATTGTAATTAAGTGGTAAACTTTTAATATACTAACTACTATATTGTATATCAATTATATTATTTTAAAATAAAACACACATTGATAAAAAATATTAAAAAAATCAATAATTCTAGTATAATAGGAAGAAAAAAAAAACCAATGTTATTGTGAAAAAAACAGTTAACTTGCACACAAATATTTTGCTCAAATGATATATATTGGAGTTGGGAGTAGTAACAAAATCTTCCTTATTGGTAAATTTCAGATATAAATTTAACATTACAAAAACACAAAATGTGTTTACCAAAAAAAAAAAACATAAAAAGTGAAAAAAAAATTATAGACAGTGAATAGAAAACAACTAGAAAACAAAAATAATAATAATAATACTTATCTATGATGTATCTATGACTACGAGAAAATTAATTGATCTTATCTTCTTTTGCAATAGAGTTTTTACAGTGAGCAATTGCAGCTTGAATTGCAGCATGTAACTCTTCCATGGTACTATCATTTGTAGAAGATGAAGAAGAAAGAGCAGCACCTTTTGCTAACAACAATCCACTATTTGTTGGAGAAGTTCTCATGGAAGCTGGTGCTGAATATTCTCCTCTACTTCCTCTAACTTGTGGCTTATTTTTCCTCATTAAATTCCCTGAACGTGAATAAGCTTCTCCGTGGAATCGATTCTTTTCTCTTTTTCTGAAAAAGTATTTCTTCAATGCTTGAATCATGTCATAACCAATAAGTTTCTTCTTGTTGTTATTCTGCTGAGGCTTCTCTTTATTATTTCCTTTTGCTAATCCAAACAAAGAGAAGCTGTTGGATTTAGTGTTGGTGGAACTGGATTTGATTTCTTGTTTTGTGATTCCCGTGATGATGTTGTTTGTGCTGTGAAATTCTCGGTGGCTGGTGTTGCAGCTTCCGGTGTCTTTTCTGAACTTTTCATTTTCTGTTATAGGGAGAGTGAAACTGTCGTTTGAGTTGGTGGAAAGGCGAGGTGAGGAAGGGAAATGGGAGAGGAGATGAAGGGGAAGTAAATGGCCGTGGAAGAAAATGTCATCAGCTGGAGATAAGTCAAGTGCAAGAGACTGTGGTGAGGGTTTTGATTTGTCATGGATCGTAGTGGAGGAGTTAGAGTGGAGAGAAATTGTGAAGGAGAATTCATGAGTAGGTGAAGAAGATGGTGAAGAAGAAGAAGGATGATGATTGTTTTTTTCTATGGTGTTTTGATGTTGTTGTGTTTCCATAATAATTTGACAAGATTTGATCAAGTGTTTGGTGGAAAGAGAGAGAGAGAGAGAGAGAGAGAGAGAGAGAGAGAGAGAGATAGGTGGAAAAGTTTGTGATCTTTGTTTCACTTTGATGTATGGATGGAATGTTAAGAAAGGTTTTTAGGAGGGATAAGAGAAGCAAAAAAGAAGGAAAGAGTGTGAGTCATTGTCAAAACTATGTTTGAACTTTTTTGATGCTTTTTCATACATATAAGACATTATACATTAATTATTTTTGTGTGTATGTAATTACTCCATCCTTCCTTACAATTGGATAATGATATTTTTTAATCATTAACAATTTTTCAAATGTCTCCTTTTATCTTTTTCTCTCTCAAACGACTCTTTTTTATCTCTTTATCTCTTCATGCACAATTAGAGGCTTGTAAGCCAATTTAGCCAAACCCATGAATGACCCATCAAATCCAAAATATTAATCTAATCCAATTAATTAATTAAAGCATTTGATAATAATTAGTATTATTATATTTGATTCAAAGTTTATTAATCCTCTCTCTCCTTAAAATAAATAATACTTTCAATTTTTGATAAATTTTTATTTTTCAACTATTCAATTCATTATTTTTATTTTATATAAGTGATCCTATGCGGACGATATCTTTATAAGTTATACTATTAAAAGTTCTAAATTAAAAAAATTAACATAATTAAGGTTTAGATATCTCTTAGACACATAAGAGCACATAATTTCTATTTTAGAATTGAGAAGGTTTATTCAACCACATGTTTCTAATAAAAAATACATGGGTTGTATGTTGATGATTAATTGAGACAAGCTTAAAGATTATGAAAAAGCATGTCCGACCACAGATGCTACTAAGTGGTAGATTGTGATAAAAGAGGAGGTGAACTCTTCACTTTCCAATCAAATATAGAAACTAGCTAAGTTATTTAGTGAAAAATAGTTATTTCACAACAAATGGGTGTATCAAAGAAGAATCATAAGGTCTCTAAATTAGTGGTAAAAGAATTCTAGCAAAAGGAAGAAATTGACTATATTAAAAAAAATTCTGGTTGTGAAGCAAAATACTATCAAGTTTGTATTAAGTATTGTTGACATTGAAGATCTCTATCTTGAGAAAAAAAGGACATGAAGATTGCATTTTTTCATGGAGATTTAATTGAGGAGATGTACATTCAATAGCCTAAAGGATTTTCAGAAAAATGGAAGGGAATATGCTACGTATGCTAAAGAAGAGCTTGTATGGCCTAAAACAAGCTTCGAGACAATGATATATGAATTTTGAAAGCTTCATGCACAAGGAAGGTTTCAATAAATGCAATGTTGATCACTGTTGTTTCCTTAAGAGATATAAGTCCAATCATATCAGTTTGTCACTTTATGGAAATGACATGTTGGTAGCAGGTTCAGATTCAAACGAGATTAGAAACTTGAAGATGTAGTTGTCAAAAAAGTTTCACATGAGAGATTTAGATCCTGCAAAAAAAATGTTGATATGCAAATTACAAGAGATAAGCAAAGATTAGTTTTATAGTTATCTCAAACAGAGTGCACCAATCGTATGTTGTAAATATTTAAGGTTCAGTATGTGTACGAGCTGCAGTATAGCGACAAAAAGCAAAAGATTTGATTTTGGAAGGATTCCCTACGAGATATATATCGTCTCCACAGGGATTGGTGTGAGGGAAAGAATGACGTTCAACGGTCTCTACATTTCTAATCTTGTTGCGAAAATTATGATTTACAGATTCAAGGTACAAAAGATAAAAGCGGAAAATATAAAGACGGAAAATATAAAGTAAAGACTTAAAATATAAATGGAGCCTTATTAGGATTGGATTTCATCAATTGATAACACATGCATTCTTTTAATCAGTTAAACACAAATCAATCATTCGTCTAATATCCTTACGTATCACCCACGATAGAGGTTATGTCAAACACAACATCGAGAGAATAATTGTATTGTCTCATTGGTGATATCTCACGCAACTCAACAACACAAAGCATTAAAAACGGATACTCAAGCAAGTATTAAGCCTAAATCTATGTCTAGAGTCTAGAACATAATAGATAATCATCCTAGGTCCAGATCTGAAGAGTATATGTCTATAGCAGTTCATATCAAAGATAAACAGGTAAACAAAGATATCATTCATATCAGATCCATGATTGATTCATATAAAATGCCATGATCAAAATACATACTTACGCTTAACCCTTTTTAGATGCATTCAACTAATTTTCAAAGTGTAAGTCAATAAGTTCTTCATCTCTATTATCACGCATCCTCACAATACCGTATTGATCCTAATCATGCTACCCAAGCTACTAATCAACACAATAAAGTAGAAGATACAAGTGAATATCAACTTACAAAACTATGTCAAAAGTTTGCTCATTGATAGATAAATATCTAAGATCTAAGTTTTGCAAAAGTTTTTGTCAATACCCACAAATAAGAAATCAAACACAACATCAATATTGAATCAAAATTAGTTCACCAATATATATTATATGAAATAAATAAGGTATCAAAAGATTACATCCAAATCCAACAAGAGATCGAAGCTACTTACTCGAAGATCAAGCTCTGATTTCTTTTGATTTTGACTTCTCCCTCTTAGGGTTTTGTTTTTCTCTCTAAAAGTATGTTTGGAATGAGGAGAGATAAAACAGATTATAAAAACATACAAGATGTCTCCTAAAATATCTAGCAAGTTCCCTTATATACAAGTTACAAAAATTTCCTATAAGTGGCATTGCGCTAAGTGCCAGCAGAGCACGCCTAGCGCAATCAGTTCAAATGCGGAAAAAACACGGAGAACACGCTAAGTGCGGTATGAAACCCTTAGCTACTGCCTCTGGTCTAAAACGACGTTGAACCCGCACTGAAAAACGCGCTAAGCACGATTAGCCGTCAACTTACCAAAAAATTTCACTTTAGAAGTTCCTTTCGTCATCCAAATGCTCCTAGCATCACATCAGGCAAGAAAACTGATTCTTCTTCATTTCTTTGGCTTCCCTGTCCACTCCTTTGTGTCTTAATCATTGATGTTTTATGCATAAATTCTGCATAATAACACACAAATCAAAGAATCCAAAGGTATTTGCAATATGTTGAAGAATCACACAAGAACAAGAAATAAATCCATTAAAACATGAGAAATGAGTTGAAAAATGCCAAGAAAAATGGTTCAATTTAAGTCATATTTGCACTTAACAACTCGCCCCAACTAGATTTTTGCTTGTCCTCAAGCAAAGTATGCCCCTCATAAAAACAAGAGGATTTGCTCAAGCATAAGATTCAACCAAGAAAGGATTAACGGTTCAAATTTAAACAAGAGAGATTTTCTCAAATAAGTGAATTTGCTCAAACATGAGAATGCGCACAAGTAATGTTCACCACTCAATAAATCGAATAATGATAAAGAATTTAGTTCTTAAGCAAATATCATACAATGTTTCAAATAAAAACTAAATTCTCATGCTTGAATCACTCTAACACTCCTCTTAAAAATAAGAATGAAAAAGTTAACGCGATTGCAGTTGCGGGACAATTTTACTCACCTGACAAACAATGAAAATGGAAATCGAATTCATACATTCATCTAATTAATAAAAAATGAAATCATGGAAGTAAAAATATCACTAAGGGTTTTTAAGGTTGTAGCTTGGTTGGGTTCACAACAAAGGGACATTTCTAAAGGTCATTGAATCAAATTTACCAATGCAAAAGAGACATTCACTATACAAGTTATTTACACATTTCAACTTCTTTCACCACTTTCTTTCCTCTATTGCAAACCTTCTCAAACTTCCTTTTGCACAATTATTTCATTCTCTATTTTTCTTTTTCAAACAGACATTCTTTTTCTTTTGTTTTTCACATTCATATTCACAATTTTTCATGCTTGCTTGAAATTTTCAAAAGTTTTCGTAACCTACCATTTTCCTTTTTATTCTCCCCAAATTGAACTCAACCAAACCTCAAGTGAATGCTTCTTGCTTTTTATGGAAAAGAAGACAATTCAGAACAAATTTTATATTTTCAAGAAAAAATTTTTAGAATCCCACAAAATTCAATGATGAACTATCTTTCAAATTATGTACAAATACCAAGTTCATCACTAAACTAGGATATAAACTATTAAGCTCAAAGGGGTTAACAAATTCTTACTACTCACGAGTAAATTACTTTTTGGATAAGGTTATGCTCAATATAAAAAAATACCTTGACCATTCCTAATGCTTCCACAAAATCACAATAATAAAAAGATTAAGCATGAATCAAATGTATTAAACAAAGTTTATCAATCATCCTAAGCATTTAGTAAACAAATGAGGTTTCTTACAAATCGTGGCTTTTGGACCTAAGTGAAATAAACACTCAAACAAGTTGTAACATGAAATAAGAATACACATTTTCACAAAGCACAATCATTCTAACATTCTATAAAGCGGTACAATTTACCTTGCATGCATTCACACACTCAACATCCTACCATCACCACCCAAACTTGGGAGAATATTCATTAGATACTTTTATACAAATAGAAACTAATCTAGAAAAAGTTCTCATCATTCCCCCCTAATCAAAACTTAAGAAAACCTAAAAGGAATCAAATATATATACAACATAAACAATTGTACAAAGCTAAAAAAATATAGAAACTATTGCAATGCACTTTAATATCTAAACACCACTCCTCGACAACGGTGCCATTTTGTTTGAGTTGAAGTATAGCGGAAAGAAGCAAAAGATTTAATTTTAGAAGGATTCCCTCCGGGATTTATATCATCTCCACAGGGATTAGTGCAAGGGAAAGAATGTCGTTGAATAGTCTCTATATTTCTAAGCTTGTTACAAAAATTATGGTTTAAAGATTCAAGGTACAAAAAATAAAAGCTGAAAATATAAAGACAGAAAATATAAAGTAAAGACTTAAAATATAAACGGAGCCTTGTTGGGATTGGATATCATCAATTGATA